TATATAAATTCTCTAAATTTCCTAAGTCCCTAAACCCTTAAGTTCGTAAATCAAGTGAAGTAATTCCTAGGCACTTCAGATACCTGTAGGACGTAAGATTCCCTAAGGTTGTAAAGTCCGACCTTAAGGAAGTTACTTATTACAGTAAAGGAACTTAGATATATTACGTGAAGTAATCAGAGAAGATTATTCCCGATGACAGCATTTAATTAACAATCATATTAATTATGTAATTTTTTAATATAAACATTTTTAATTTATTTTTTAAAAAAAGTTTCGATAACACTATAAATATAAAAATAAACTTAATTTACATATCAAGTTATCTTAAAAAAATAAGTAAAATATATAAAAAATCATAGTTTTAGCAAATATTATAGAGTATTGAATAAACTATCCTAGGTTTTTATAATTTATCCCTAAATTTGTAAACTATTCAGATAGTTTAATCAGATGAGTAGTTTAATATAAGAGGATTATTTAAAAATGAATTATAGACTGTAGAACATAAAGTTTACTTATTACAAGGAATATGCAGTAAAAAAGACGAAAGAATTTGCACAAACTTATAAATATTAAGAGAAATATCCAAACTTTTCTTCCTTTAAATTCTCAAATAAATGAATAGATTGTTTTATCGTTCATCATGATCTTTTAAATCGTTAGAGAATAATAGTATTTCAAATAATTACTAGTAGATTTACTAGAAAAATAGCAAAGTTTTCTAAGTTTTGTACTTTATAAAGGATACAATATGATTATCTATTTAAATATATTAGGAATATGGATAAAACTCCTATAACATTTGATTTAACAAGTTCATATACTTTGAAAAAACATAGTTCAAGTACTATTAATATTAAAATTACAGAATATGAAGACATTATTTTAGGTTATATATTAGATAGATCTAAATTACCACTTGTTATTAAAAAATATGCCTTGAGAAACATTTTTAATAATATATTTGTAAGAATAAATGAAAATGTGTGAGTAAATGAAAATAAAATAATATAGTAGGTTAAAAATATTTGGTCCAAGAGAACTGATGATTCATTATTAATCTTTAGATCACTCTTAGTTTTAGTTTCTTTTCATGAATATTTAGTTATTTATGTTAAACAAATATTTAATGAACATGCAACTAATATAATAGTAATATGTAACATCTAAGCTGCAACCTTTTGATGTAGAAATAAATAAAAGCTTCAAATCTAATTTAAGTTAATTGTATTTATTTAATTATTTAAATTATATTTATTAAATTATTGAAATATTTATATATTACAAAGTATTTATTTATTAAGCATTTATTATTAATTCAATAAAGCTATTATTTATTAAAATATTGTTTAATTTTATCAATTAAATTTTAACAGATTTATGAGTTTTATATTGATTGGATGACAAATCATATTCATAAATTAATTCTAACTAGATATATCAACCTTCAAACTCTTTAGTATATTTATTAGTAAGGACTGCATAGGAAAATGTTGAACCAAGTTTAATTCACAAATCATTTAGATGTTATGGAATTTTAGTCAAAATAAATGGTACAGAAGATGAAAAATCTTTGATTATGATAATTTTATGGATAAAGATAAAGAAAATGATGATAGAAATAATATAGATAATGAATTAGAAGAGGAAAAGAAGGAGATGATAAGCAAGATTATAATAATTGAAATGGTTTAAATTTTAATGATAATAATTAATTTTGTTTGATAATATCAAATATGATAAAATTTAAAAAGGTATAATAATAAAGAATTTGTTAAAAATATCAAAAAATTTCAATATTTTCTATTAATATTAATGTAATTTTAGTTTAAAGATAAATTAATTGGTTTTTTAAATAATATTTAGTTTCAGCCAGACAATTTAACATTATTGGCTATATAATTTAATGTTAATAAATCAGAATTACATAGGATTTATAAATTGAAAATTAACTGAATCATACTTCTTGCATGTAAAGATTATATGGCTATATTTTTGCATCTATTGATATTTTTTATAAATACTAGATGGATAATTATATCTAATATTAGTTAATTTACAGTCTTTAAAAAAACTTCTATGTAAAATACTTACAAAATTTTAGCTTAAAACTTTGAATAATTTAGTCAGTATTTTATGATATTATGTTAATATTATTTAAAGCTTAAATTAAAATTATCGATCAAAAATTTTAATTATATTATTATTATATGAGCTGGTAAACTGATTAATATAACCAGTCAGTTGAACAAAGACCTATGATTGATCATTAATTGATTATAACTGACTATTACTATTCCTATTCATGATTATATGCTAAAATCATGGATTTTGGTATTTCAATAATATGAATATGTAAAATTTTAGTATTTATATTGAAGCTTTTGTCAGGATTCCATATGTTGGTCCTAAAAAACTAAAAGATTTATAATTTCAATATGTAAAAGCTTTAAATATTTATAATTATAGAGAAATAATATAAGAAATTTCTAGTGGAGTTCCTTTATTAAATATTTAACTAATCAAAATGATCAGGTATTGCTTTATTTTAATATTTGTGAAAGATATCATGAATTTTCTTCTTCAATTATTTATAAAAAACATACTTTTAATAAAATTGATAATGATCCACATCTAATCAATAATAGTAAAGATTACAATGATAGTAATAATGAAATAACTGATGATAATGAATCTAATGAAAGTAATAATAACTTAGATGAATATAGCGATGATGAATATAATGAATTTTCTCTTAATATGTAAATCTTATATGTGTGCTAAGGAGAAAAAATTATGTAGACATAAATATTTTTTACAGCTAATTAATTCAAAAAAAAGATTCAGTACATATGTGAAAATGAATTAAAGTTAGATAAACGGTACTTACCAAAAAATCTAAAAATGTAATAAATCTTTTATTATATTATATATATTATTTATATTTAATTTATCATTAAAAAGAAATTTAACTAATCAATTTTTTTAGCCATATACATAGTAAAAAAGCATGCAATGCTAAAACATAAGGCCAAAATAGCATTGAAGAATATTTTAAGATTAACAATACAGATCTATTATCAAAAGGAATTATCAAATGATAAATTAAACAATATGTCACTCAGATTTTGGTGGATCAAAAATGAAATAGAACTTGCTTGTCAATTATTATTACCACAACAACTTAATAATCGCCATTTAGTTTATAATAAATTGAGTTTTAGTAAACTGCAAGAACTTTATAAAGCACAAAGAGCATATGCATCATGGATTTTAGATAAAGTGAATTATTTATAATGAGTGCTAAATAAATAAAAACATGTAAACTTTCAAAAATTGAGTTTACTTTTTTAAATATCAACAGACTATTCCCATCGGATCAATAATTTTTTTAAGAATTTATAATTGAAAAACTATTTAAAAAATATACATTGTATATATTCTCATAAAATCTATTACAGAGGCATATGGGTTAACCTGAACTCAAAATGATTTCTTTCTTTTTTTTTATCTGGCCATTGTGTAATACGATTCGATTAAATTGATTCGGGTTAAGTTTGTATATTTAAGTGTACTTTAAAATCTCTCTAAATCTGCATATAAACTTTGTATGTAGGTCATGGTCAATTCAAGTAGGTCATTAACTCGGACCTTTTTAGAGCAGTAATAGTTTGGTAATTTTTTTCTTTTGTATTTCTAATTTCTAAAAATCACTTCGTTAAATGTTTTAATACATAAAGAACTAAAAAGAATTTAATTATAATAAAAATCGAAGCTTATTTTCAATATTGTTGCAGTCAAAAATCTTGTAAATGAAAAGACAATTTTTTTAGGGAGTGAAAACCTATTTGTCACCCCACAACTTATGGCGTGGCATTAGGTTAAGGGTTGGTTTACTTGTGATGTGGGATTAGGGTAAGGTTGGTTTATTAAAATTAGCCACATTATACATATGTAATCACATGACCCGAGCTTTTTTGATGGTGTTTCTGGGGAAGTTGAAGTTTAAATGATGACGCTTTTTCTTGATGGTAATGCTAGGGGGCGTGACGAATAGGTTTTCTTAACTAAAACTGAAATACTTATAAAAAATTAAGGCGCGAAGCCTGGTGATAAATAAATTATTGCGCCAACCACACATTCATACCTTTCCGTTTCATAAATTGTTGGGACAAATTAAAAAAAATTTTTTTTAAATCCTTTTTGCTTTAAATTTATAAAATACCGACAATAATAATAATGGTAAAAGTGTATTAAAAAAATTAAAAAATATATTCAAACAATAAAAAAGGAATAAACGTATGACAACGGTTGAATTACTGTTAAAAAATTTTTTTTTCATAATACCATATATTAAAATTTATACTCAAATTATATCAAATTACAACATATATCTGATATAACCAGTTTCAAGTGACGAAGGTAAATAGCAAATAATATTATAAGATTAATATTAGATTATACTATAACATAACATTTTAATTAATTCCGAAATTTTTCTACATTTTTGATAGAGGCAGTTTCGGATGTCCCCCTACATTAAGAGTATTATATGGTAGTAATATTGAACTTTGACTCTTGAATTTCCAATTGTTAATATCTTAAAAAAAGTCCTGAGGTCAGATAAAAGAAGGAAGCTAATTACTTTTGAAGCAACTTCTTTTTAACTAAACAATATGAAAATAATTGGACATATTTTCTTGTAATATTTCTGAAAAACAAAATGATTATTAAAGATTTTTTTTTTAGATATTAATGCTTTGAGATGAATTGCCTTTAGAGGCAAAGATGAAAAAAATTTTTTGCAATTCGAAATTCGCGCAATAAGGACGTTTTGAATGGTGGCTTAGAAATTTGATTAACGTTACATATTAACAACAAAAATACTTTTTACATTTACATTCCATTTTAATCTTAGCTTTTAAAGTCAAACGATAACATAAATAAATATTTAATTAAAAAACAAACGAAAAAACTATGTATTCAAAAAATAAATTTACAAAAAAGTACGAAGAAATTACAATAGAAAATTTAACATGAAAAATTTGTTGATCTACCTATTACATCATTAATTTTAACTTTTGTAAAAGTCAAAAGCGCAATACAGTATATGCAAAACTTTACTGAGAAAATAATAAAAGATACATA